ACTTACTAAGAAGAATTTGATGCATTACAAAAAGGAATTAGTTTTCCCCACTAATTCCGCAGTGCTGAAGAAATTGGTTTGGGTATAAAGCCACTTCCCGCGAAGAATATTTCAGAAAGCATCGATTTTTAACCGTGCGATATCCACCTACATTCAAGAACTTTGAAAAACAGCTCAGGCAAATTCTGGCGTTTTCGTTAGATTTGAAAATGCCCACCTGTATAGAACTGGATGTTATAGGGATGTACAACACTGCCGTTAATTTAATCTAGAAGATCGTACAATACCTCATGTTTGCTAATGGCAAGTTCCTACGAGAAACTGTCAAAATCAATGATTTTAAGACAGTTAGGAATGTCAACAACGAGTATTAATGTATAAAGCCTGCTACTCAGTAGAAGTATAAGTATTGTAGTTTTAAAGTTATTTTCAACTTCAGTTTTCAATTCAGTTGCACTTTTCCTTGCCGGGAAAAAATTTCCCTTAAATGATCACTCGCACCCTACTGAGTATCGTTGTCATTGTGTCAGTTTTCCTAGATGTACTCTTGCATTTTAACCACTTCTCACTCTGTAAAATAAAAGCATAAAGCCTGTGTCACACTATCAAAATACTCCAGCAAAATTTCAAGGTCAAGTGCTGTGATTGGTCCAAGTCATCGAATTAGCCAATCACAACATCTGTCCATGATATTTTGATGGCTAGCTTTGATAGTGTGACACATGCTTAAGAGTAACGCGTAACGCATAACGCTTGAGGCTCGAAGCGCTTCGGGGAATCGTACCACGAAGTGGTCAGCGGGCATAGTCCCCTAGTTTTTTTTTAAAAAAAGTGATGAAATTGCGTAGGTCAAGGGTCATCGTGGTCACAGGTGCGTTTTAAGGGGAGTGGAGGAAGGGAGTCCGGGCAAAAACGGAAAACTGCGTTGCGTAGCATGATACATAAACGCCTACAAAGGTGGATTTTCAGAACTCCAATTAGTGAATGTTCTCTCGCATCCGTCCGACAAAATCGCCGCGGAATGGTTGCCGGTTCAGGAGTCCTCATTAACCTCAAAGTGGACACGGAATTTGAAATTTTCCCCGTCCTGCAAGACCGGCGTGTCTTCTTCTGCTTGATTTCCGCCCTCATAAACCAAATGAGCCCCCCGTTCCCGCCTTCCTATCGTTGCCTCATTATTTCTCCAATCAGTCACAGACCACAGGTTAAATTTATGCGTACTCTTCGCGCTAGGCCGAGACCAGCGTTGTCTCATTGTCTTTCGCCCGGATTAGTCTGGTTCAATGAGGCTAAATTGGATTGCATTTTGCAAAAGGGAACCACTAGCATTGCAATGTTGCCAAGATTGTGCAACTTCTTTTGTCTTGGAGGAAAAACCCGATTATCCATTAATAGTTTCTATTTTACTCGCTAAAAACTGTAAATTTTAGACTAAAATTACCATCTTTTCATAGTTTTTCGCGATTTCCGCAATTTTATCGCAAAAAGTGAAGTTGCACAATCTTAGCATCATTGCAATGCTAGTGGTTCCTTTTTGCAAAATGCAATCCAATTCTGGTCGTATTGGCATTGAAAGAGAAGTTCGATAATGCCAGCCGAATGTCCAAGTTCTGTGCCAATCAAACTATTCGGTTGTTCCTATTGATTTTCGATTTGTATAACCGTAGGTCGATTATGTTAAGTTGCTCGCGTAGCCTTGGCACCATACTGCCGTGCTAAGGAAAAACGCCGTATGAACATTCGACAGTTGCCAAATTTCCCCTGATAAAGCATGAATTTTTGACGAAATTTATGTTTATTTTTCCTCAAAATTTTCAGATGTTTTAGATTACATTGCGTACAAAATAGTCTCAAGAACTGGAAGAAAAATATTTACAATTTCCCCAATAAATTCGTGTCTAATCAGAGGAAATTTGGCAACGTCTGGAGGTTCATGCGGCGTTTTTCCATAGAACAGCAGTATACTACAAATAGGACAAACGGAATTAACACTCCATGGATATAGAACTAGGGAAAGGGCGCGTGTTGATGACGGCGCAGAGATACAACTATTCGTACTTGATGGATGTCCGTGTTGCGTCTGCCAAATTGAAGGCGCGATGGCGCGAGGCGCGAACTCGCAATGCTTCGCTCTATCCGAGAGTACCTTTATAGATAGAGTAGGGTCATTCGTTTCTTTTCAAGTTTTCAAAGGCGACTGGACCACGCTATCCTGAGAGTCCACGTCTACATCAAGACAAACTCTCCATGCAAAGATAGGGAGCGAAAACATTGACAGGACTGCCACTTTATTCGGGGACTCTAAAACTGAAAACACGGCAACTCCGCTAATGTATTTGCTCCCTATCTTTGCATGGAGAGTTTGTCTCGATGTAGAGGTGTACTCTCAGGATAGCGTGGGATATCCCCTACATGATAGCCTCAACTTGAGAGCTTTTTTGAGCTTGGAAGTTGATTTCAGAGAAAAGCAGTGGCACCATCGTGTTTCTCGCGAACTTTTACCTACGAATCAACAGTCAAATCGCAAATTCCTCACACATGCAACATCTCCATTCTCGCGTGCAACACGCCCATTTCCGCACGAAGCGGCAACGGTTGAGGATGAGCTTGCGCCGCGAAAGGCGCAAAAAGCGGGAAGCTCGCAAGTGCGCAGTAGAGGTCGTCGAACGGGGGGCGGCGGGCGGGGCGGGGGGCCGACGCTAGTACGCGTAAGGTCAATGAAACGTGTTCCCCGCGCGCCGCGCCGGGGTTCGAACCGGGACCCACGGGTGGTTGGGCGCGCAATATCGAATGTTGAGGTGAACGTTTGGCGCGGGAATCCGGGCCCCCAGGGCGGGGGGGAGGTGTCGGCGGGGGGGGGGGGGGGGGGCTGAACTTTGTTCAATGGAACTCCGACGATGCGCGGCGCTGATTGACGCTTCGCGGCGGGCCCGCGTCCGTCCGTAGTATCTTGTATCGATCATGGCCCCCCCGCGCGACAAACGCCGCGTTGCACGTTGGTGGAACCCGGTTCCCGCGCGGTTCCTGCCGCTTCCGGAGGTTCCATTCATGCATCCTTCCAGATTTGGTTTGAATGGAAGTGCAGGGAAAACAAATTTGGCGCAAAGTTTTCCGTGAACATGGTGTCTACAAGTACGGAATTTCCGGAAAGTCCGGAAATAGTACTGATTTTTTAAGGGCGTTCCGGAAGTAACGAAAAAGTGCGGAAATTCCGCAAAAGGGTCCGGATTTTTTTTTTATTTTTTGTCATTTTGGTCGCAATTTGAGCGAGAAATGCAAATGTTGGTGGAACCCGGTTCCCGCGCGGTTCCTGCCGCTTCCGGGGGTTCCATTCATGCATCGCTCGAGATTTGGCTTGAATGGAAGTGTGGGGGAAAAAAATTTGGCGCAAAGTTTTCCGTGAGCATCGGTTAGTCAGGGTGTCTACAAGTCCGGAAATAGTACTGAGTTTTTAAAGGCGGTCCGGAAGTGCCGAAAAAGTGCGGAAATTCCGCAAGAAGGTTGGATTTTTGTTCGTTTTTTGTAATTTTGGTAGCAATTTGAGCGAGAATTTCAAATGTTTGAAATTTTTCGAATTTCGTTAATTGGCGGTATTGAAAAAGTACTGAATTTTTTGGAAAAGAATTTGGCGCAAAGTTTTCCGTGAATATTAGTTAGTCAGGGTGTCTACAAGTCTGGAATTTCCGGAAAGTCAGGAAATAGTGCTGATTTTTTAAGGGCGGTCCGGAAGGACTAAAAAAGTGCGGAAATTCCGCAAGAAGGTCCGGATTTTGTTTTTCATTTTTTGTCATTTTGGTCGCAATATGAGCGAGAAATTGAAATTTTTGAACTTTTTCGAATTTCGTCAGTTGCAGGTATTGAAAAAGTACTGAAATTTTCTATTGAGGAGGTACCATATTTCTTGGGTATGTGCTGAAAAAGTACTGTAAAAGTACTGATTTTTGGCCGGTCTGTTTTCGTAGACACCCTGGCTGAACATTGGTTAGTTCATTAGAGGCTAAATGAGAGCAGCTTTCAAGGATTCAGCCAGCAGTGACAGAATTACCAAGTATTTTGAGCTTACACATTTTAGAAATGTTTAGAGGGATCGATATTCTGAACATTTTAGAGGGGAGCATGTTGGACTTGAAACTCTTCGGATGTTCATCATTGGCCGGAACATGTGTGTATACGATTTTTGTAAATGCTCGTCCGACAGGAACGTGGTTGGCTGCAACCGAAACCAAATGAACGCCGCATCCACAAGGGCGCGCAATTTGCCTAGTCTGGTTGTTGAAGGCGAACTTCTTAGAATGAGTTTGAAACATTTCCTGTCGACACATTACCGGTAATTGTGGTCGGTTTGGTCTTAGACGGAGGAAAAGATGAAGGAGGGGGAGGAGGAGGTGGTGGAGATGATGATATTGTAGAACAAGGAGAAAATTAAATAGTCACTCCAACTGGCATTGCAAGGAGTGCAGCCGGAATGAAAAGGCAAACTCTCAAATACACGACATCAGGGGACGTGTTGTAGTTGTAAGCGTACAAAATAAACTTTTTCGCCTTCGTAGTTTCGGATAGGCAAAAGCGGCCCCCTAGAAGATGAAATAGTTGTATCGGCATTCTAGACGAAAAACGAGTTTGTGCTCATACTGTTCATGTGAATTTTTCATCTGTACCTCATTAAAAGGAAGAATTATTTCAATTCACTCCTGGAAAAGATATTAGAGGAACATCTGTAACTAGGGAAGAGAAGCTTTTTCTGGGGAATGAGATGTAATGTAACGTAAATGTAAACCTCGGGGTAATGTTCTACTGTCTAGAACCAAACGATACATCGAACCACTACTGAATACAATCAATTGTAATCGAACCATTTTCTCAAAGCAAAAAGCCAAAAATATTAAAATATAAAAAAATAGCCCAGAGCCGGCACCACCGCGCGGTATGCCGGTGTCCCCAGCAGCGTGGTGTAGTATTTGTTTGGCGCGCGATTCAGTTGCTCAGTTGCGTCCCACGGACTCTTGCGACCGCTCGCACGCCGCTCGCCTTTGCTCGCCGTCTCGCATTTTCCAATTTTTAATTTTTCCCAATTTTTCCCTCGCTTTCACAACTTCCCCTGATTTTCCGCTCCCCCCTCGCGCTGCTCACCTTCTCCGAGCATCAGTCCTGTGTGTGCGTTCGGAATTTTCATTTTTTTTCCCGCGTCGCGTCATCGCGTGTGCGCCCCGATCGCGTGTTTACACACGCCGAGGTCTGTTTTCTTTCTCCGTGCACCAATGTCACCGTTGATTTGAGTTCTGGTTTTGTGATCTCCTCTTCCTTCCGCTCGAAATTCGGTGTGAACCACGGTGAACGCTCTGTTACTTCCGCCTTTTTAGCCTCCCTTTTATCGCTTTTTCCACCTTTCCGCGCGTAACTTGTGTTGTTTGTGTGAGTGCCCGTTTGGAAATTGACCTGTGTTCCGATGTGTCGTTTATATACGTGACCAAAGGATTACTCATTTCAGCGCTCTGTCATCTAGAAGTTTGAATTTGGTGAGCATTTTGTTGTATTTTTTGCGGTGTGTGTGTGAGAGTCAGGATCGTCACGCGGGGGAAAAGGGAGCTCGGTTCCAGATCCGTGTCTTGTGATTTTTTCTTTTCAAAATTACAGTTCAACTTCTAAAGATGCTTTAATACAAGCAATGCCTTTAATTTAGCTAAAAATTCCAGAAATTACCACCTGTCAAGCATCAACTTTTTAAAAATTTTCAAGCAGTGATTTTGGTAGAATTCGGACAATTTCCGACTCAGGGGCCTTTATCTCTCTTTAAGAGGTATACATACTTTATTCGGCGCAAGGTCCGAAAGTAAATTGTTTATAAAATACAACACACATGCAGAAGAAGAATTGTGTTTTATCTCCAGAGAGAGACTTTTTTTTTTGAAGTACTGCATTAGTAGCACTGTGCTGATGTCAAAAAAATGGGGGGAAAAAGATACTCAATGCAAGTTGATAACAGTTATTTAATTGTGATGTTTTGCTAACGTAGAAGACTCCCAGTTTTTTAAAAATAAATACGAAATTTAAATCTGATACATTCTCAAAGTTGAGAAATTCTGTCAAAACCTGTCTCATTACTCAGATGGGAGCTGAACTAGGAAAAAATCCACCTTCCCAAGATTTTTCGGGGGGTTTGGGCTCCAAAAGCTCTGATTTTTTAAGTTCTCGCTGTTTTAAAAGTTGCCACGCCTTTTGAGCTGGATATGCACATGCCTCAAGCTTTCGTCCTCATCTCTTAACGTTTCCTCTCAACAAAAATTTCACAACTATATACCCACTTGCCGTATTTTGCGGTGCACTAGGTGATAGTAAACCAAAGAACACCGAGTATGCATGACGCAAGGGATAGCAAAGTTGCGTGAGTTAGCTATTGCTGTTGCCATTTCTTGCATCATTTTGCACGCCTTTACGCAAGCTCAAGTATAGTCAAATAGGCGAATGTTACACAAAATTCCGCAACATTGGTGGCTGTCCGCCCATCTACAGATTACAGCGGGTACAGCTNGGGGGGGGGGGGGGGGGGGCTACGATTGCAAGGTATGAATAATGTGACCTCATTAGACGGGGAGAAATTGAGGCGCGTAATTTTTTCCCTGCCATGTTTGGTGCAATTCAGCTGCTACATGTCATTTTGAGATGCTGCGGTGTTAATGAAAGTTTAAGTGCCATGTTCGAAGTTCGGAAAAAAGGTGCAGGAGCTAATCGCTTCGGTTCTTGATTTTAAGAGTATCGTGAAAAACGAACCTCCCAGGGTATATATGCTTAGAATATGTTTAGGACATATTTTTTGCGATGTCGTTTTTCTTTCACCTCTTTTCTTTTCCTCCATCAAAAAAAGTGAAGTGAGCTAAAATGTCATGATCCGGAGGAAAATGTTGTGGAAACTGAGGAGGTAACCGAGGAATCACGTTTTCTCTTTGCCTCAAAAATATTCTCAATTATTTTTTCGTTTTCAAGAGTGATTTTACAACCAGAAGAACAGCTATTTTCTGTCAAAAAAAAGAGAATATCCTGCATTTTACTTCTTGAAATTCCTCTATTTTTTCAGCACACCTAAATTTTTTCTCTGAAGATTTCGATGTTTGCCATGAGACACCGGTTTTTTTTTTTTACACACCACGTGTTTGTTTCACTAATTTTGTTTTGACAGATTCCCGGTATTTGATGAAGGAAGCATAGTGTATAATCAGATAAAGTCAAACAGCCCGTGAATTTTTGTCTAAGAAAAGCAAGCCTCAAATGCCCAACAGTATATTTTCACTTTTGAACATCAAAATTACTTCAGTAACGCAACTAAAGGGAATCCGCTATTGTATTATATTTGGATATTATTGTATTATATATCCACTATGCCTATAAAGTTGGGAAAGAAACACGCCATAGCTCGATAGCAGCTTCTGAATCACATCCACTTTTTTCAACATCTTTTCCTGGAAGAGGCCAGTATTTCGCTTGCTCTAATCTGTCCTAACTCAACGCCGACGTAATGTCCGCATCTGACATGTAACATTGATGTGCTAACTACTCTTCTACGCCTTCGCCGAACACTAATTTGGTACAGTGGCGGGGAGTGAATGATCGATTATCGATATTTCCCTATTTGAAGCTATGGTAAAGACTCGATCATTGAAGTGTTCGTTACAAACACCCTGTTTATCGATCCTTTTCCATAGGTTTAAATGGCAGATCAATCGATGTATCGAAAAGCAGGCCACACCACTGATTCGGTCGCAACCATGCGATGATGACTGTGAGTCGCTGTAATAGACGCCATCAGTGTTATGCGTCACAGGAAAGCTAAGCGTATCGATTTATTCGCAATGAGAGAGATTATGTCGTTATTATCTGTTGGATACAATTTGATCCAAGAGAAATCTCTGTATTACTCGTGAGGTCACTGTGGGGATTCTTCGTCGTATCTCGTATGCTACCGTGCTAAGGAAAAACGCCGTATGAACCCTCAGGCGTTGCCGAATTTCCTTTGATAAAACACAAATTTGCTGGTAAACTTATGAATATTTTCTTTCCGATTTTTCACATAGTTTTGTTCGCAATTTCACCTAAAGTTCCTGAAAATTTCATGGAAAAATATTTATAACTTTTTTCAAAAATGAACATTTTATTTGGGGAAATTTGGCAACTCTCAAATGTTCATACGGCGTTTTTTCTTATCACGGCAGCATGGAAGTGGATCCAAACAATGAGAATATCTTATCAGTTTTCAATGATATCATTTAGTATGAATCAATATAATCGATGACTCAAGTCGGAAAGTGCGTATCTTAAATTGTGACGTTTTAAATCTCCACTCACGTTACATTTTTTACTTGAAAACCAACACTTTTTCTTGAAATTCTGTGTAACAGTTTTTCACTCGGATATATTCACAAAGAATCTCAAGCACATATCAATTATGATTAGTTACCTCTCAAGGGAAAAAACATTATCTGAGCTTTTATAACGTCATGATGGAGGTATACGGTACGCATTTTTCGACTTGGCTATCGCTGCTTTCCTGTGATGTAAAACTAAAGGATCCATATGCACCAGTGTTTTCTAAAAAAAAAATTAATTTTTACTTTCTAAAGTTTCATATTGATTTGGAAAGCACTTGTCAACTCCGCGGATCGAAAATTTAGGTCAAACATTCATCGCGACTTCTAATTTAGTTTTTGTAAATCTTAATTTTCGATTATAGCAGTTACGTGTTTCCAAATATATGAGGGTATGATTGTGTGGTTGTTGTTCTTTTAGGAGGATAAGAATTGACTGATCGGTTTTTTATGGATTCAGCACGGATTCGCTTTTGACGTTGATAGACTTATTTATTCAATAAAAGCGATGTAAATCTGTCGCGGCTGCTACTAGCTGAGAATAGGAAGTCATTAAACAGAATTAATTTGTACATAAAGGTATTTTTGAAAAAACTCGTATGAAGCAAAGCAATTATGATACCCTGTACGTTGTTTTGGAAAATCTTCGTACAGGTAGATGCGCCTTGCTTAATGACATCTCTGGCGCCATATATTAACTAGCGATCAATCTTAAGTACATTCAGATGTGAATCAAATATTTTTTTGACATAAGGTGAGTGCGTTATCAACTGACGGACATCATCGTATGCCTTTGAGAATTGTTTCAGGTTCTTAGATGCATTAAGCCATAAGAGTATTTAATCGCTTTCATTTCCTTCAAAAGAACACATGTGCAAGGCAGTTTTGATCCGTGATTTTCTTTATCTATCAAAACTTTAGAGCCTATGACATTTTAATGTTTAGGCCCTTATTAAAATAAAGATTTAATTGAAACAACACACAGTCCCATTTTTCACCTACAGAATGGTGTTTTGAACTACTTTTAGTCCGGTTGTTTTTACAGTCTTGCCTGTTTTTTGAAAAGAGGAAATCTTGATAAGAACTTGCAATATATTGTCACAGAGAAGGAATTCGAGTTTTAAAGAACACTGAAAAAAAATATCACAATCTCAACTATACATCCAGCTGATTTTGGCGCTAGCCATGAGAGTAGCTGAGCTGGCTAGAAGAAGTGTAAAGGCATCAGCCAGCGGTATAGTTAATCCAACCACACTTATGCTTACTATGTGTGCACCAGCTGGAGGTATGGTTGATCCAACCTCACTTTCAGCTGACTTAACCATACCTCTGGCTCTAATATCTGGCGCCAACATCAACTAGGAGTATAGTTGGGATTGTGATACTGTTTTTTTTTCCGTGAACCGATTTGCTGTTATGAATGGGTGCGACACCATGTCGTAAAGAGGTAACACGTAAAAAAAAAAGAGGCGTGACGCTCTCCTCGGCCCCCTCCTCCCTAGAAAGTCACGTAATTTATGAAAGTTTTTTTTTTTTTTTATTTTATTAATTTATGAAAGCCGAATCTCACATTATGGTATGCAGGATGAATATTTTGGGAACCACTGATTTAAGGGACAGACGAGTGGGTGCAGATTTTCCCGGTGGCTCCCCAGCCGATTATTAAGCCTGGAGTTTAGAGCGCGGTTTAACCCAGTTTCCTCGTTGTCATCGATCTAATTTGTGCGAAACGTAACGCACCCATTAGCCTCGCCAGAGTATGCACCCCTCCTCCTCCCGGTCTAACGTCAGCTTTGTTTTTCTCATCAGAAGCATGAAAAATATTTACTCCGCGCAACCAAAGCAGCTGCGTCCGTGCTGCGACGCGCCAGTTGAAAATTCCGAAACGCAGTGTTGGCCTGATTAAATTGACTGTGGGACAAAGAGGAACCTAGTTAAATTTTAGAAATGAGTTAGGAGTAGTTTTGAGCTTAACCAACCGTTCCTTTAAAAAATTAAAAACATTCAAAAGTGAAAAAAAAAAAAATTACTTGCGCGAAAAGGCATTCAACTTTATCTCTGACACTGAATCGCATCTGTTAAACTCGGTCCAAATGCAATGGTTATTGGTCATAGAGCTTAGTACCACAACGCATGAATCAGTTAGACCGCATTTTGAA